ACAAACAAAATTCTCAATTTTGTCACTATAGATCTACATTAATTTCTTTTTTATTCAAGTTCTGCAAAATACTTTTGAATCGGAGTATACGATTTTTGAGAAAATTTATGATAAGTGATTTCACATGATTCTATTGCATGATTGATAATAACTTTGCAAGAGTGTCAGATATATACAGATTTTCATACACTTTCATTCAAGCTCTTCAAAAGAATTTTGAATCAGAGTAGAAAATTTTTGAGAAAACTTATGATAAATGATTTCCTATGATTCTACTGTATGATATGACTGATAATAATTTTGCAAGAGTGTAAAATATGAAAAATAGTATCGATATGCAAGCAAGAGGAAGTGAGTACATTCTTAGTAGAATATTAAGCCGAGGTGCAATAAAATAATACAGTTTTCTCTTCTATAATGGATGCTATATGGATGTCGGATCGATGCCTACCATATGTGCACACACGAGACTCATGAAATAGCAGAAAAAGCTGTCTAGCTCAACGATAGACAGATTTTCATACACTTTCATTCAAGCTCTTCAAAAGAATTTTGAATCAGAGTAGAAAATTTTTGAGAAAACTTATGATAAATGATTTCCTATGATTCTACTGTATGATATGACTGATAATAATTTTGCAAGAGTGTAAAATATGAAAAATAGTATCGATATGCAAGCAAGAGGAAGTGAGTACATTCTTAGTAGAATATTAAGCCGAGGTGCAATAAAATAATACAGTTTTCTCTTCTATAATGGATGCTATATGGATGTCGGATCGATGCCTACCATATGTGCACACACGAGACTCATGAAATAGCAGAAAAAGCTGTCTAGCTCAACGGAGAGTCGTCAGATTTGTATCGAAGTTTCACAATGAATAACGTGGAACATTATAAATCGTTTAGTTGCGGATCTCGATTGGGCAAACAGTGTTGTTTCTCCCCCTCCCTTATACGAACTTCTTTCAGACAGAGATTAATTACCGAATAGCGAGCCACTTGAAATTTTTACCTTGACATGCACGAACAGCTTTATCTCCGCGGGAAGAAACGAGTCGGTTAAAAGTTGTAAAAGTTGTGCGTGACTTCGCGAAGGGTAGAGTAGAGCAGACAACACGAAGTCTAAGAAACTTGACGATTTTTTAATTCATTCTAAAGCAAATACTTATACCTACATTTCAATCTGATGCAGCACAAAATATTACAATATTTACTTCGCGTCGCTCTCTCCCGATAAACTAAGGTCCGGAGAGTTCCACTAAAGTCGTGTGATAATTGCAGTGTTCGAAAGCTAAACGAGTTCTCTTTTGGAGTGTCTATGCTCGCTCTTTTATTATCTAGGTGTGTTTTCTCATTGGTGGTTCGACTGTGCAGAAGGTGGAAGAAGTGTGTGGTTTTTCTGTCTGATGATGTGGAAGTGGGGAAATTGTTGTTAAATTTGTTATATTGCTGTGCGCATAGGATTACTGGTGTCGAGGGTCTGTTTCATGGTCTTGACGCATGTGGTGTCCGGGTGTAGAGTCTTCGAAATTTTTACTGTAATAAAGCAATCGACGGGCTATACCGGCTAAGACTTCTCTTTACAAATACTGTTTCTATGGAAAAGGCCGATGTATTGTTCGGTCGTCGGTACGCCCGAACATAATCGTTAGACTTTTTCATAATATTTTCTTCTAAGAAGAATGAATTATCATTTATTGATTCCGGAGAAAAAAAAGGTGTTCCGTCGCGTACATCAGAATTTAGGGATCTTGGAACACAAAGTTACAGGAAATGATCAAAATTTGCGGCTTTCAGCAGTCAGACATTCGTTTTGAAACACTGTGCGGTGCCACGACGGCACTTCAAGCTTCACGCAACCGAAAGGGTGAAAATTTCGGCCATTTGATAATTTTCTATTTATACCCCGGTTAGTTTCGGCAAAGAACGTTGCATAATCTGAAACACTTGGACTATAACGTATATGCATAAGTACAAATGTACGTGCTTAATGCAGGACGTGAGAATTTCGGTTTACGTTAATGCCATGTTCCGCAAAACGATTAGAGGTTCATGTTCTAGAAGAGTTGAGGAGGATAAGCCGAGGGATGAAGGGAGGATATAGTGAACGATAAAGCCGTTTATAGAGGTGGTTATGTCTGAGGAAGAATAGATCAAATAAAGTACTCGTGCTTCTGCGGAATGTGGGACAGATGAAGCGAAATGTTTCCAGGTGAAAATGCTTCAGACGTCTGAAAAAGTATTCCTCTAAAACAGGAATAAACTTTCACAAAGAGGAGTCTTTATTTTGAAGATTCTCACTTATCGCTACTTGTCACTCTTGCTGATTAAATATTCAATACTTTGCGCTATAAATACTTTATTCTCATCCTGGCTAGGTAGCCTAGCAATAATTAATCTACTGCAATTAGTCTCCTCTCCTATTTTCCATTGCTTTTGACTCCATGAAAAACATTCACTTCTGTGAAACTTTTAAGTAGTGCTATACTTCCAACATGAAAATTGCTTCATAATAGATTTCAATTCCTGCTTCTCCCGTAAAAATATAAAATTATATCTACCATAATTTTTCTACCGATGTAAATACCCTAAATTCACCACGTACTCTAAAATAAGAGCACTATTGTTTGCCGCCCTTGGGAGCATTTTGAGTACCCAGACTTGAGTGTCTATACTTTCGTTCAGCAACGATATCTGTTCTCTATCCAAAACTACCAGATAGGCGCTAGAACAAGCCAGTCAAATTACGCGAGGACTCTCGACTGGGACTTGAATCCCACCTGACCTAAGGATTCTTTCACTTGAGTTTCGCTTTCTACGCGTTAGTAACGGCGATACCAACGTCTGTACGAAATTTCAGCCCGAATAGAACGACTATCCTAAACTTTTGAACGTTGCTATACCTCCGCCATGAAAATAAATCCCCCGGGTATTCCCTTCACGTTCAGAGATATCAATTCGCCGTAAGAATGCAGAGAAAAGCAACAAAAGAACCGTACCGACGCGACGTACAAAAATCAAGCAGCATTGTATCGATTCACCGGGAGGAGAGCCTCGCGAACGTTGAAGGGTTGCGCGGAAAAGGGACGTTTCGTTGCTCGTCTATTCTGTCCGGGAGTCATTATCGCGTGGATAGTCCCCGTCGTACGGCGTATCGCGTCCGTGGCTCGTGAAAGCGGCGGAAGTCGAGCACTCTTGGCGGTCATTGAAAGCGCTCGAGGCAATCGCAATCTCGCCGACCCTTGTACGTCTATTTCGGTCAATTTAACGCCATCGCGTGGACAATTGACCGGCCAGCCGGTGGCTGGCTAGCGAAAGAATGCCAGCCGTGTACACGAGAGCGGTGATTGTATGCGAATGAAAGGGGACAGCTGTCGTTTTTCTCTCGACCAAGACCACGACAGTTGGAAGGTCAGACGCGTTATCAGACACGCGTACATTGGTGAGGAAGAACTTGAACTTCGCGGTGGTGGCTGATCGATGAGGATGAAAAGGTGGAGAAGGAAATGCTTGTTACCGGGGAGGAAGAACGAGGGAGAGACGGTTTTGGCGACGGTCGACGTTGCTGGAAGTCTGTTTTTCTAAATTTTGTAGGTGATACGGAAAGTGTTGATATGTTCACTGTTCAAGGAGTATAAGTACAGAATTCAGGTTTTTGAAATGCATCATTGAGATTTTTAGATATCTGTCTTAAAGTAGATTTATAAAACGCTATAAATGGATCAATTTCTCTTCAGAAATGCTATAACAGACGTTTCACGAATTAAAATAATTGTATACGTTCTACGAAAAGGGTAACTTACCATTTTATATTTATTAGTCGAAAAGTTACGGCAGTTTTTTCCAACGTAACGCGATTGAAGGAAGAGACGCGAAATCATTCCGTGTGAACCGCGGCTCCAAACGTTCCGACGCAAATGTGTTAATTTAATGACAAAGATTTTCGATATTACTGGAAATCCTTTTCCCAAATTTTGTAGATTGTGTAGCGACTGTTAATAAATGAACTTAATAACAAACTATCTCGCATTTTTTGGGATGCAATTTTTAAATTTAAATAGCACTCTTATTTAATTCAAATATATTTCTGTATTAAAGAAAAAAAAATACGTGTGTATGTGAACGAGTTCAAACTGTCTCGAGTCATGTGTGGTTCAGCGGACAGAGAAGATTCTCTGTAAAAAAATATGGGATACGGTAGAAATGCATTGATTTTAAGACGTGAGATGCATTGAGTTGCGAGGAAGATTTTAGAATTGATGGCTTGAGGAGAGGAATGGTGGATGGAGGTCGTATATTGTGCAAAGATTATTCGATTTTCTGGAAAAGACACATCTCAAAAATCGTTAACTTTGAGATATCTACGAAAGATCGTTCTACAATGTCACAATTCAAAGTATGACTGTCTTAACCCAATTTTTAATAGTAAGCAATACACAAACAATATTTCATTAGAGTCCCTTTAAACCTCAATACTATAATCTAAATTGTAAAAGGAAAACAATTTTCTCATGGTTAACCGATTTTCTGAAAAATTTACTTTTTTCAGTTGTGTCACCCTTATTATTTTAATCTCGTCGAATTGAGTTAGACATCGGTAGTTCAACCCATCCAAAGAACCATTAAAAATTCTGCACACGTCCACGTACACACCTATACATTTACACACATACATTACCGAATGGATGATTAATTACTATCTAGTCGTAACAAATGGCTCTTAATCTTCTTTTTCATGCAACACGTAGCCACGTATAACGCGATACACGACGTCAAGCTGGTCCACAGACGTGTCCTTACTTTCGCGTTCATTACGGTGGCATCGGTAAACCGAGCACGCGGCGACTGCTTCTGAAAATTTTATCGCGGCCAGAGAGGGAAAGAAATCGTATTCCGTTCGCGTATGTCGCGATCGTTTAGAGGGGGACCGTCCCTCCCTGTGCTTCTTTCTCATGCGTAAAACGTGAAATAATCACGTGTGTGCACGTGTGTTTGCTTAGATATCAACGAGTGTACGATCGACAACGGCGGATGCTCGGAGGTTTGCGAGAACACAGATGGAAGCTTCTTCTGCGCGTGTGACGGCGACGAGAAAGCTCTGACTTCCGATGGAAAATCATGCGTGGGTGAGTTTCTATCTATCTTATTCTATGTTGGTATTTTCAAGGATTTTCTGATGCAGAGTAAATCTGGGAGTGATGGACCACTCTTTTCTAAAGGTAGAATTGTCTTTTAAAGGTAGAATGTAGTGTATCGACTGGGTCATTGGTGACCCAGGCCAAACTTCACTCTTGCATATTTTCGAAAAGAACTTTTATTTTTATGGAAAATTTTGAAACATTTGACTTAACGAGCAATTGTATAATGTAGTAGAAACTTTGATAGATGCTCCAGAATTTTTTCAGATTTTTTGAAATCTTCAAACAGTAAAAAAGTTAGACTTGGACACAAACGAACTACTTTGCCTACAGAGTGTGAAAAAATATACCTACCGAGGGTTAAATGAAGTTACAGCAATAATGTTAAATAACACAGAAATTATAATATTTTTTTCAAAAATAAGCATATGAAAAATTATGACAATGGTCCAACTACCTCATACCTGCACTGTGGATTAATTGAACCAAAACGCACGAAAAACAAAAAACGCAATAAAGTATATATTAGGTGTAGAAATGAATTCTTTCTGACTGGATTCGCATAATTAATTCGATGTTACCGAGTTTCTATCACGACGGTATTTGCAAACTGCCAGAAAATTGGCAAAAGGTCATCGTCAACAATAATAAGAATTATTTCGACGATTGATCTGTTTTCATTTTTTCCGACTGTACACAAAAGTCGGAAAGAATTCATTTCTACACCTAATACAACAATTATTCGAACAAACACTAGAAACCAATAAAACTTTGTTAAAAAATCTAACGACGATACCGGGAATGTTTTATTTACTCGTCAGTCCTCGAGATATTTTCCCAGACCTTACTTCCGTTCGAATCCACGTTCCCCAGGACCATACATCATTCGCGTGTCTGGGAAACGCAATATGTTCCGGTGACGCGGGGGAAATTTCTCGGCCACGACGTAATAATGTTATCGCGGACACACGCTCCCGAGCATTTTCGTGACGAGCATCCTTTTTTGCGATTAATACTTATACGCTTGAATAATACGGTCCCTTTATTACCACGCCTCCACGGGACAACGATAAATTCGTCCGCGTTTCTTGCAGTCGGATTAATTCACCTCTGGCCATCCTCTTCTAGCGTTATGCAGAGTAAACTTCACTCGTTCGAGACTATCTTCCTCTCTTTTTCCGCTGTGCTTCGTTGAACGACTTTTTCCACACGTATCGCCACCGGTGAAATTTTTTCAAAAACTACGTAGCAACATCTGAACTAGCGAGCTTCTGCTGTGATGAATTGTTTATACGCTTAAGTTTCGATGTTTTGTAACGAACAGCAGTGGATCATTTGCAGTCATTTTATTTTGTCCATTTTTATAGACAGAGTGTTTCAAGAACGTACACTTCCGTTCAGAAGTATTAGGACACCTATTACGTTCGTAGAAAAAGTATTACACGATTTAAATTACATTTCTTCGTCAAAGTTAGTATCCTGCATCGGTAAAAATATACAGGGTGTTCATACTTAGTTTTCAGCGTATTTCTCGTGAGTGGTGGATTTGTGAGAAAAGCAGGGAAGGACAAAGTTTCGTTATTTTTCATACTCAATAGGATAGCTTGAATAGATTTTTTAAATTTGCAATAATTTCCCCATTTGTTAAATTAATAGATGTAATTTTTTCTACAACTCATTTTCAAACTGAATTTCGCGACAGTATTTGCATTGCATTATCAACGGCACGCTGTTACCATCTTATTTTTAAAACGGACGCATTTTTCAAAGGATTCTAGAGAGAAAGAAAAATTCAGTAGCTGATCTGAAAGTAACTTCTAAAAGTTGCTACAAAAAGTATCGTCGGAAGTGTAAAAGGCGTTACTAACGAAGTGTAGCTGTTACAGAGAACTATTTCGAAGAGGCTAATTTTAATTTCCAATAAGTTTTTATCAACTAACTTCGTGCTTACTATTCTTTCGCTAATTTCGATCGAAGATCTGCGTAATCTTGAATAGAATTGAAGCTTCGCAGCTTCTCAGGTGTTTATGGTGTAAAGAAAGTTCGACACGGGAAGAATTGCTCTTTAATTCGTATCAGTTGTAACCTGATGGAATTAGGTCTCGAACTGGCAGAGGTATTATTCCGATTTCGTTTGCCGCTCGTTCGAATTTTTGTTGCCGGAGTTTACCCTCTCGTTTGCATAAACTTATCGGGGCAATAAGAGAGACACAAGAAGCTCCAGCGTGGAAATTTGCATCGGCCGGGAATACGCTAACGTTTTACAAGTTTCTCGAGGAATATGAAATCAAGTGACCCAGATTGCGATTGTTTGCACAGTTATGTCGCCTCGACTCGCCTTGCCACGACGAGCCGATAATTGCCGAATTTCATTAAATCATTAATGGAGATAGCTTCCGACGTAAATTTTCAAAAAATTCCACCGCGTAAGAGATATTTCAATTTGGAGAAACAATGCCTCCATAGTACCCTTCTTTTTCTATCTCTCTGTCTTTTTCTATTCAGAATAGTGATATTTTTCCAACTATTTCAGAGTTGTGTAGGATCAACTATTATTTCGTAACGTGTGAAATATTTAACAGAAATATAAGTGACAATTTTCTCACATTTCTAACGCACGAAGCAGTAGAATTTTTCAACAAAATTAACAACGAAGAGTGAAGAATAATACGAGATATTTCTCGTATAGGACGAACTATTATTTTGTAACGTGTGAAATATTTAAGTAATAATTTTTTCAGATTTCTAATAAAGTAGTGCAATTTTTTAACCCTTTACAATGCCACGTGACTTGTAAGTTGCTATATTTTATAAACTTCATTTCCCTAATATTCGTCAATTTCTTTATTCCCTAATATTTACAAATATTTCATTGTTAATAATTCCGTTAAAATGTGAAATTACAATTAACCGTAATGTTCTCTTTCCGTGAACGAAGAAATATCGGGTTATAAAGTCTTAACAAAATTAATCACGAAGAATAATACAACGTTCTTCTACAAATGTTTCACAAAATAATGTTTGTTTTACGAAATTTTTCATCAAATTTAAATTTCCCGCATCTTTTTATTGGATATTGTAAAAGTTGCGAAATAAAAAAATCTGGTTGTATCGGCTCGTGCCGAACAATGCATTGTTCTTTCAACTCTGTCATGTAAAAATTCTCGTCTATGAATATTCACAAATATCAATATGAATTCTCCTGTAAATTTGATTATTGCCATAGTATTGTGTGCTCTTCTAGAGTAATTAATATCGAGCCTTACTACTGCGGAGAGGTTTTCAATTTTAGCAATCTAGGATATTCCGTAACTGGTGCTTCCAGTTTCACGTGATTTGTATCGGTTTCTACGAGTTCAGGATGATTTGCATCGATTATGATGCGATACGGAAGTGACAATATGAAATAGGGTATCACGAACGTGTATTCTACTAACATGTTTCGTCGTACGAAATGGCTCATTAGGTGAATCAAAATGTTCTCGTGTAAGAAACACGGAAAACTTTCTTTTAGAAAGAAAATCTACAACGTATTTTATTATTTACACTAACGAGAAAAACAGACAGACTGTTGCACGATCTATTGCAGAGACAGACTGACTCGCTTTTGTTGCTCGCCCCTTATTTATATACTATGTATTCGGACAAGTTCTCGGTTATTCCAAACAAAACAAAAGTGAATATGTTTATATACCTTCCGCGGTTCGAGAAATTTCCCGAATGCTCCGAAAAGAAATAGAAAATTCCTAACACTTGTAAACATCGAAGAAGATAGAAACATGAATAATTTAATAAAAATGTTCTTTTACACTTAACTATTTTAATTGAAATCTTTAACCTAATTTTAGAGCTTCACTTTGGAAAATCTTAATTTTCGTGTGACAGAATATGTTTTGAAAAAAGAATATTATGCATTTTACACATATTTAACAATAGAACTACCGACTGGGTCGAAATGTCCCATTAGCATCTTTCGAAAAAACGTGAACGTTCAGTACTGGTAAGTATCATCGTTTGTAACTTCCCGAATTTATTTTCTACATGTATGCTTCCATTTGTATCGATACGAATCGAATTTTCCAATCACGGTTTACTTACATAAAAATTCACTTTTGGAAAGTCACTAACGGGTCACTTTGACTCGGCTGGTAGTTCTAGTGTTAATATTAAAATTCTTTTCGAATAAAAACTTTTCTCATTATCCATCTTAAACTTTCTTATCTCACTACCCTGCACTACTCCAATCGATTCCTCATTTCAAAACAATTCTATTTTAATAATTTCGAGTAACGAAATATCCTTAAAATTGCCAATTTTCCAAAAATTCTCGCTTATCTTACAGTGATTCCTTTAACCAAACAGAGCGCATCCTTCCTCTCAAATCCAAATCCAACCTAATTCAACTAAACCAAATACCTCAATCTCCTCCGACTTCCTCATATTCTCCACTGAATCGCACAATTCCCCGAGCAAACGAGGCACCGGTTAGGACTTAAAGAGCACTTCATAACAATAATAAGATTAATCACTATGAAAATCGGCAAATCGATCGAGGGTATGCAGCCGAGGGTATCGCTGATTCGAGCAAGCTTCTCCGTTCGTATTATATAAAGTCAAGTGACCCGGTTTACAACGATATTCAAGCAGATCGTGGTCCTGGCACGTTGCAACGAGGCACAAGCACGGGCGTCGGGACGCGTCGATATTCGCGGCGCCATGCAGAACCGTCACGGTGCTGATCTCCGCGAATGCAACACCGATACCGTGTCGTCGTTAACATCCGCGATTCATATATTATGCAGACATCGGGGATAACAGACGCGTGCATATCCACCGGTTCGGACGATAAATGCTCTCGGTAGACGTCGCGGCATCGAGATTACGCCCGGTCCGTATCGACTCCTCGATGTGACGATCGCGTCGCCGCTCAGAGGTAGCCGACAGAAATTTCAACTGTGGCTCGAACCGGGTATAGCACGCGTGTCAGGGAAAATCTAGCCAATTGTAAGCGGATTAAAGGATTCGCGGGAATCGTACGAATGATCGATGCGTCGCTTCGAAAATGCTCTCGATGAATACTCGTACCGCAGCTACGTCTTCTCCCTTCCGGAGAGATTCCTTCCTTATTTTTCTTGTCGTTTGTTTTGCGGAAGAATGACGTAATAATTGAGCATCAGTTGAGCCATTTAAAAGCCAAAATGATTAATTCTACTTTGAGAAATTATTGGAATTTTAGTGTCAAAGCACATACTTGGTGCTTAACTCTTCATAAATTTCATAAATTTCATTTGAGGGAGTTAGTCATTTTGGCTTGTGAGTGGTCCAATTTTGTTTCGCATGTGAGTAATGGCTATTAGGTTGGTGCAAATGAAATGTCGCACGTTTAACAGCTGAAATTGGCCAGTTGATACTATAAACTCCCTCTGTTCTAAAATAAGTCTCACGTTTGCACACTTTTGTTTAGAATATTAACAGTTTTTCTTCAGTTTTGATAGAACTATAAGGCAACCTAAGAATGCCACTCGATCGTCTTTCATTATTAACAAAGGCTGGTAAAAAATCGAAGAAAGGAGTTCTGTTGGAAGCGCAAACGAGTTAATTCTGTGGCAATGTTTATGGCTGTGTACACAGGGGTGGATTATTTTCTTCACGATGAATTTGCTATACTTGTTTAAGAAGAAAATGATAGTGAAAATTGGAAGGTAGATGTACGGTTATTTTTTATCGTTTTATTTCACGTTTGAGCGATGTAGTTTTAGTCCGCCCGCATATTGGACCACTTATGGCAGGCGGTGGTAGCAACTACCAGCAGCGAGATTATCTTACCGACGATTTTATACGAAGTCTGCAGATACAGTTACTCACGTAGCGCAACTAACTTTTATGCTATAGTAGTTCTGACATTGGTGACTGATATCTTTGTACGAGCCATTTCTACGTCAAATTGCGCACTCTCTGCCGTTTCAAATGGATTTTCTGGACTTGGAAGAATTGGCCAGCAGTAGAATACCTCCGAAATTGAAATTGAATTTTTAGCAGTGAATATCGCTGTTTATATATTTATTGATAATAATAAATATTTTTGGTACTGATTTAAAAAGTGCGCTCTTTCTAAAGTGTGTTAGCCTAGTTTACTTGATTTTGCGACACTTTGATATTTAATATCTTGCAAACCGTTCAACATAGGAGACTCAAATTTCACGCGAGTTAATTTCTCACGTCTACCGTACACATGAAATTTTCAAATTTCACTGGTCTTGGTTTATAATTTAAAAATGACAATGTCCGTAAATTTGTAAAATTCACCAGTGTCTGTTTATAAAATTTTACACAATTTAATTTCTCGTGCCTACCGACAATAAACATGCTGAAAAAAATCGGTGACATTTTCAATAAATTGTCACTTTTTCGCGACAGTGAAAGATAATTTTCTTTTTGGAGAAGAAATTCTACAAAATCTACATTTTCTCAATTTCACTGCTTCCCTTTACGAATAAGTGAATGTTACATTGGCGAAGACATGAATTTACACGGATGAAGTTGTCCCACTAGCTTCAACTCGCGTCAATCCGCTTAGACCAGCCTGAATTCCCATTGATCCATTACTGGCCACTTCTAGCCGGTTACAAGTGGCCAAGTACACTGGCAGCTTTAAGTGGATTCTGCTACTTTAACGGCATTGGGATTGTATGAACTGTACTTTCAATAATTCACATAGATTTAACGCGTTGCAAAATTTTTTATCTCGATATCCCTTATTTCTCCCTTCAATTTTCATCTTATGTTTAACTGAATCGTAACTGAAACTTTCGAATGTCTTAAATTCTGCAAATAAACGATTCTAGTGTATTTAAATAATGATTCCAATATAATAAAACATTTTCTTGCGTTATCTTCGATATTTAGAATTGGCTCAGAAATATTCACGCTCTGAATCAATTTCGTGTGAATTAGTTGAAAAGAAACTTCACTTCAGCAAGTCTATTATACGTGATTATGATACAAGAGTGTGTGTGACACGAGAATCGCTCGTGTAACAATCGAAAAGACAGAATTTTACGCAACTTTCGTGGACGAAGCTACTTCGAGTTATACAGGGTGTCATATAACCAGCGGTACAAGTGGGAAGATGGTAATTCTATATGAAAAATTTAATGGAAAATGTATTGTAGAAGAAAATTGTTT